CAGGAATAAAGGCAAGCTTCTCCTGGCAAGCATCACTCACCCACCCAAAACACTGCATTGGCCACTGATAAAGAGATTTCATGACGTGAATGAAATGGCATTTCTTCCCTTCCCCCAGTGCTCCAGCTCTCTGCATGGATCCTATCTAGCTGCTGGAGCTGCCCACAGCCAGCCAGAACAGTTCCAGCTGTATATCACACTGTCTTATCAACCTAGGTTGCCAAGGGAGAACTTTGCTGCACAAAACCACAGGCGAGGGGAGGGTGGGGGGTAATCATGCTGTCCAGCTTAGAAATACAACTCTCAAACAAAACCCTAAGGGCCAGTCTTGAGACCAAGGAATAATTGGCACTAACAGAATGAGTCACAGGACACCTGCCAGCAGTCAGGACAGGTGAGGGAAAAGAGTGCATCAGACGGCAAAACAAAATATGGAGTGGACAAGGAGGCAGCCACTGGACCTCACCCATTCATCCCAGCAGCTTAATGCCCCACAAACTGTAAGAGTGACCTCCAGTAATGCCCAGCAACTCTAAGGACCTTCTGCCTCTTTCTTTAGTTTCAGGGATAATGCTTCCCTACCCAGAGGAGGCTCTGTTAATGTGTATTAAGTGGCTCCATTCAGTATCTCCAGTCTGAAAGAACCTATTTTCCTATGAGAAACCCTGAGCTGTATTTTTAACCATCAAAGAGAGTTGGAAAGGTGAAACCTGAAGTCCCTAATCCACAGCAACTCATTCACAGCTCACTTGCCCGAACACTCTCTATTCCTGGCACTTTTTTATCACATGATCATGAAAAGCTTCCTTCTACTCTGAGCCTAAAGACAACTATAAACTCCCCTTTGACATGGAGTGCAAGCCCTATACTCATCTTGCTCTCCACAGATGGATATGAAGTGAGATAGTAGCAGCAAGCTAGACAGGCAAAGGATTAATTCTGTCTGAAAGCTCTATTTTGTGACACAACTGTAGGCTGAGCTATTCCTGGAGACCCCATACTGTTTGATTTACGACAAAGTCATTTAAAGCTCTAGCAGCCCATGCAGCAAGGATGATTCTCTGGTGCAGCAGCTACTATTCTGGACTTTCTTTCTTCCAGGTCAGTTGTGAAATGCCTTGTGAGCTAAATGAGTGAAATGGATAGTGCATTGCATGAGATCAAGATGGACTCCACCATGTGCTGTCAGCCAGACACATTTTGGAACAGCTCAGATTCACGGGATCTGAAAGGATGTTCAACATGAACTCTGGGGGGAAAAAACAACAGAGCAAACTGGATTGAAGTAATCTAACTACATTAAAATATTTAAATAATATAATATAAGCGTCTTTAGAATGCGGGAAAAGTCCAACACAGGCAAGACAAGGAGTCAAAGACAATTAATTTTAAAAAGTCTTCTTAGGTAGCTGACCACAGGATTTTCCAGTCTTTAGC